ACGGGACCTCGTTTTTATCGAGCTTCTTGCGGCCGTCCGCCCTGGCTCTCTCTGGGTCCTTTGCGACACAATCCCACTCTGCGTCTGAGAGCATGGAGCGAGCTTGGACCACGCAGGCCTCCATGGCGTGGCTGAGCTCCACCCACGTCTGGTCAACCAGGCGGCGGGCCTCGCGGGAGCCCGGCTCGATGCCCTCCGCCACCGCTCTCATGCCTTGCCACACGTGGCCGTAGCCGGCGTCCCACATCTGGTTCGTCATGACCACCCACTCTTCCTTGCTCGAGGCCGGCGGCTTGGCCACACCGCGGTGCTTCGCCAGGCGCCATTCCTCGACCTCCGGGCCCTCCATGCGGAAGTCGACAAGCATCTGCACGATGATGTGGTCGCTGATCGCGTCCTGCACCAGCTCTTGGCCCGTGACCGTCATAGCCCAGCTCACCCCGTAGTCGATGCACCGGTGGCCCCTCCAGCGCGTCGGGAGGTAGTCGCCGTTCTTCTCCTCGACCGTTTCGATGCAGCACTGGGCGTGCGGGACAAGCACCTGCGAGGGCAACTGGTTTCAATCGCCGATTGCCATTCAGGCCGTGAGGCCGTCGACCTGTACCACGTCGCTGATCTCCCTCATGACGGCAGCCTCGTCGACGCCTGGGACCACGTACGTGTTGAAAAGCACCACGCCCTCCACGACCGTCGCCAGGATCTGCCCTTCGGGCCCTCCTCGGCTCCACAGCTGCTTGGAGCGAAGCTTCCTGCTTTGCTCCTCGGATTTCTGACCAACCGCTGGCGCAAGGTCTGGGACCAGGAGCTGCCTCCCGAGGCGGCCTGGCGCACCAATGAGTCACCAAGGTCGCGGAGTGGGGCCCGCGGCACGAGGAAGAGGTGTGGGCGCCGCTTGAGAGGGAAGATGTGCGGGACGCACAGGACAAGCTCAGAGGAAGCAGTGCGGGCCCCGACGGGTGGTCTGGAGAGGAGGTGGCGGACGCGACCTTTGCCACGGACGCAGTCGCCGAGTTTTTCAACGTCTGCGAGGCTGTGGCCGCCCTCCCTTCTGGGTGGCAGAAAGTGCATGAAAGTGCGCCAGGCGCATATACCCAAGGAGGACACTGCGGAGGGCAAGGCGCTGCCGTCCGAAGCTGTCCGCCCCATCTCAGTAAGCAGCTGCTGGTACCTGCTGTAGGCAGGGAGTCTGCTCCACAGCGCGGCCAGCAAGCAGTGGCAGCGGCGGTGGTGGCCAGAACGTGCTTTCGGGGCCAAGCGAGGCGCCTCGGTGCACGACGCTGTCCAAAGCATCGCTGTTGCCATGGAACAGGACGAGTATACCACATCTTGGGACTTCTCCTTCTGCTTCGACACCGTACAGCCAGCGTGCGCCGCGGTCGCGCTGGAGCAGGCGGGCATGCCGAAGGGCATTGTGGCGATGCTGACCCACCAGTTGGAGAACCAGGAGCGCTACGTGCAGCTGGCTGGCATCACGCACCCGGAGGTGCAGAAGGTGAGCACTTCCGTCCCCCAAGGGGATCCGTGGAACCCGCTGGCGCTCACCTGTCTGTTGGCCGGGCCGCTGCGGGAGCTGGAGGCGCAGGCGCCCAACGTCACCACCACCGTCGTTTTCGTAGACGACAGGACGTGGACGGCGCGCCGCCTGGAGGACCTCCTGGCCGCGGCGCGCCTCTGGCGAGCTTGGAGCGCGGCTCTGGGGCTCAAGGAAAACGCTCTGAAGGAGCAGTGGAGCCACCGGGACCCCGCCGGCCGCCGGAACCTTCAGAAGCATGTCGCGCCAGACGCCGTGGCGGACAGGCTGGAGGTGTTGGGCATGAAGCTCACTGGCGGGAAAAAATGAGGAAGACGAGTCGGAAGGAGGTAAAAAGGCTTGACAAGGCCTCCCAGCAGACGGCCAAAGCAGCCCTCCTGCCATTCCCGCCACGGAAAAGGAAGCAAGTGGTGGAAGCTGGGCCGCTCGCTGCCGCGCAGCACGGCTGGGTGTGCGACGCGCTGAACATCCAGACCACCACGCAGATTCAGAGCCGGGTTCACAGAGCCATCGACTTCCCGATCCACGCACCACGGCCTTTGAAGTTGTTGATTCTGGGACATCGCTCTGGCGTCAGGTACAGGTGCCAGCAAGAGACCATACTTGGTGTTGTTCGCGCCATATCGAAGGGCCTGGCCGGGAACGACGCCACGGGGGAGCTGCCCTGGAAGGAGACCACGGGATGGTCTGGGGTCCTGACACAGCACTTGGCCTGGACAGAGTGGAAGTGCGCGCACGAGTGGGTGTGGCACCACGACGGCACATATCAAACCTTCACGTTTCGGCGAGACCACCCTGCCTGGCGCGAGCCGGGCCAGGTGGCGCACTTTCTTCGAAAAGCCTGGCGTTTCTTCAACTACCAGGAGTTCATGAAGGGGGACCGGCGGGCTACGGTGGCGTGCAACGGCGCAGAGTACGACCCGCCCAGGTACAAGCGCATGCTCCGGATGGTGGAAAAGATCCCAGCCGCAGCGAGGATCTTCGCCGGCGCGGTGGTGAGCCCAGCCCACTACCACAAGGGCGACCTGGTTCTCGGCCGGTGTCAGGTGCACCCGCGCGCTGGGCACCTGGGGTCACGTGGCGTGGGAGTGCCCGGGCAGCCGCTTCTGGCGCCGTCCGCAGCATCGCCCCCATGATGGCTTGCAGCGCCGTCTCCTGTGGCCGACGGCGCTGCCAGGAAGGAAAGAGGTCGACGCGCAGCTCATGGGGTGGGCTGTCTTCGTCGACCGGGTCATCAGAGACCACAGGTACGACGACGATGGGCGCCCGCCCAGTGTGGCCCGGCCTCGCGGCTGAGCGCGGAGGGCGGCCGTCCTGGCCGCGCTGCAGCCAGTGTCATCTCGAGGGCCCGTGCTGCGATATCAACGAGTGCGTCCGATCGACTGCAACGCGGGGCGCAGCGACCGGGGCCCTCTGCAGTGGGTCCGCGTCTGGTCTGGCGAGAAGAAGCTCTACTGCTACAAGACCGCCCTCGGGGCTGCCCCTCGGAGCTGCCTCCGCCCTCGGGGCTGCCGCCGTCCAGTGCGCCGCCGGCGCCGGACAACGGCGCGTGCGACTGCGACGCCGGTTACCACCGCTGCGCTGGCTGCCTGGAGCTGTCGTCGTCGCCGAAGAAGATCCAGCACTGCTCATCCAATTTGCACAAAGGCTGCAAGGGCGAAGAACCAGAGTGAGGGCGCTTCACTCTGGCCGTGCTCACGCGAGCGCCCGAATGGCCTCGCGGGAGGAGGGGCGAGGTTGGACGAGGCGGAAGAGGAAGATGCCGCACCAAATCCACGCGATTTCGTAGGAGCGACGCACCAGGCCACGTGTGCCAGAAGCAAAGGGTACTGTGGCCACTTATTTTGGGCAGTTCGCGTTCAGTCTTCGCGAGCCTAGGCTCGAGGCTCATTTCACGTTATGAGTTCTGCGTGAGTCCTCAAAAAGTACTGGAGGGATCCCAGGGGGCCAGAATAGGCCCCAGGAGGGCTCCAGGGACGGCTTTTGAGCGGACTTCGGGGTGCGAGGCTTGGGCGCGGTGGCTGGGGCCTCTGCGCGCCCTGCCCCCCCCCGCGCGGCAGAGCGCGAGGCAGAGTAGCCCGCGAGAACACGTCGTGGCTTTCTCGCTCGTTGACAGGGCGAGGCCGGGGAGGGGGCAGTGCGGCAAACAAGCTCGTGCCCTGCGGCTCGCACTGCGCGCCGGTGGGCGAAAGAAATTATGCAAGTTCTTCGTGGTCGCATGCGGCTGCACGTCGATTGCGACACCATCTCGACGCGTAACCCCCGCCCCCTACATTTCAATGTTGGCCTCGATGGGGCACGCCACGTCCGGGAGGACAAAAGAATGCAATTCAACATCTACATCTACATGTTCGTTGGAGGGAGTTTTTCAGAGATCGGTGGTCGTGGTCGTGGTCGTGGTCGTCGTCGTCGTCGTCGTCGTCGTTTCCTGTCGTCATGAATCGTCTTGGGTCGTCTTCGGTCGTCGTCGTCATTGTCGTCGTCGTCGTCGTCGTCGTCGTCGTCGTCGTCGTCGGTGGTCGGTGGTCGGTGGTCGGTGGTCGTGGTCGTGGTCGTGGTCGTGGTCATCGTTGTCGGTTGCCGCGTTCGTGGTCGTGGTCGTGGTCGTGGTCGTGGTCGTCGTCATCGTCGTGGTCGTCTTCATTCGTCGTTGTCATCGTCGTCGTCGTCTTCGGTCGTCGTCGTCTTCGGTCGTCTTCAGTCGTCTTCGGTCGTCTTCGGTTGTCTTCGTCGTCGTCGTCCTGATCGTCGCCGTCGTGGTCGTGGTGATGGTCGTTGTCTTGGTCTTTGTCGTGTTTTTTTTTCGTGGTCGTGATCGTGGTCGTCGTCGTGGTCGTGGTCGTCGTCGTCGTCGTCGTCGTTGTCGGGTGGCGCGCGCAGGGGGGAATCGTGGGGGGGCCGACCTCCTACCGAGTGGCTCTCGAGCGGCGGGTGGGGAGCGGGTGGGGGGGAGGGCCGGGGCACAGGGCGGTTCTCGCCCGCGGAGGCTTCTTCGGGGGCAGCGAGAGGATGGAAGAGGCATACCCAGCGGTCGTTGAAAGTAGGTGTTTCTGGATTCCCAGATTCCAATCTACCTTCGGCGCCTCCCAACTTCAAGGGTCGAGCGGTATTCGTTCTTCCCTCCTTTTCAGGGGGCAGGCGGAAGCCCAATCTACTTCCAGCGCCTTCCTACTTCATGTTTCTACCTGCTTCTTCCGACCGATGGGTAGGGGGAATGCATCGACCTCCTATTGCCCACTGACCGCCGAGAGGGGTCTGATAGCCCCACCCCGCCCAGGAATTGTGCGGAGCCGCCATCGGGGGCCTATATCGCCGATCGATCGCCGATTCCAGGTCGATGTTTCCCCCTGTGCCAGTCCCCCCTATTGTTGCCCCTCAATTCTGCGAGGGGGGTGGGGTGGGGGTGGGGGGCGGATCTTCGAGGGGGGCGGGGACGGGCCTTAGTTGTGGTAATGGAGGAGGAGGAGGAGGAGGAGGAGGAGGAGGAGGAGGAGGAGGAGGAGGAGGAGGAGGACGTATGAGGAGAATTCTTGGGGCCTTTTGGTAGCGTCTTGTGGGCTTCTCGGAGGCCTCTTGGAAGCCTCCTTGGGCCTCTTGGGGGTCTTCTGGGGCTTCTTGGGGGCCTCTTTGGCAGTGTTAAGGCGTTCCTGGCCCGTTTGACGCCGTGGGCTGTCTTAGGGGCCTCTCTGAGCCGACTTGGGGCCCTCCTGGGGCGATTCAGGGACGTTTTGAAGGTCATCATGGGAGGCCTTTTTGGCCGTCTCGAGGCCCTCTTTGTGCCGTCTTGGAGGCTTCTTGGGCCGTCATGGGTTCATCTTGGCCTTTGGGGCCTTCTTGGCATGTCAGGAGGCCGAAAAAGCAAAGGCCAACATCCTTCAAAGCCTAAGGATAATCAATCATTTTGGCCTCTGCGGCCCTCCTGGAGGACCTCTTTGACGCCTCTTGGGCCCTCTTGGAGGCCTCTTGGGGGCCTCTAGGGCCGTCTTAGGCCGTCTTGGCGGCTTCTATGGCGGACTTGGAGGCATCTTGAATTCTCTTGGGCCGTCTTGGAGGCCATCTTGGACCATCTTGGGCGAACTTGGGGCCATCTTGGCCGTCTTGGAGGCCATCGTGGGCCATCTTGGAGCAATCTGGAGCTGGAAAAACCTTGCCAACCACCTCTCGAGCAGCTTTCCGGGTGGCTGGCGCGCTGTGCCGAAGGCCCAGCGTCTCAAGAAAAACCAAACATTTACCACAACGTCCAGCATGCCGGGCACCCCTGTGGCAAGCTAACGGAGGGCAGCGGATCTTCTGGCCTTCGGCGCATTCTGCCACTGCGCCTATCTCGGGGCCCTCTTGGCCTGTTTTGGGGTCCTCTTGGGCCCGGAAGAGTCACGCCAGAAGACGCACCGTGGCCAGGGAGCCACGCCGACAGCCACAGGAGATTCAGGAATTCGGGGTCTGGGCGCCTGAAGTTTTCAATCCTGAGGGACCTGATGACACTGGAACTCGTGCCTTGCGGTGACAGATCGTTCGGTAGAGGAAACCGTTAATGGACACTCCCCCTTTCCTCCAAATTCAAAGTGTACACGTGCGGCGGAGACTGCGGTCGAAGTGCAACTCGTCAGACCCACCGCCAGCTTTGAACATTGGGGGGAGGGGGAGGCGTTGACCCATGAATGTGGCATGAGTGTTCGCTATTTTTTCGAGGCCTGTCGCCCTCATCTCTTTGTCAAGAGGTGAACATGTCCGTTGCCGTGCTGCCGATGGCCGCTGAGTACGGTTGGGACGCCGCGGAGGTGGGGCTGATCCAGAGCTCCATTTTCTGGGGCTACGCCGCGACCACCGTCGTGGGCGGCGTGCTGTCGAGGCGGTACTCAGAGGAACAATAAGCAATGTTGATGATTATGACGATGGTGATGATGACTATGATGCTGGTCCTGGTAATGCTAAGGATGCTGATAATGGTGGTGGTTTTGGTAAGACGGTGGTGGTGAGACGGTAGTGATGATGATGATGATGATGATGATGATGATGATGATGATGATGATGATGATGATGATGATGATGATGATGATGATGATGATGATGACGATGATTCGTTGCCAGACGTCCCATGTTTTTCCCTTTGGTGCGCGGACTCCTCCAGGGTGTCGAGGGCCGCGAGATGCCCCAGAATCTTTGGAACATGTCCTGGGCCGATGGCATCTTTGCATCACTTGAGAGGAAACTTCGACGTGAACGTGAGCTGTCGGAGGTCCGCGCGGATTTCTTGGACCTGCGGTGGACCCCTAACGCGCAGAGACCACTAGCGGCGGCGCCGAAGGCACCGCCAGGGGGTCCAGCGCCAATCCAAGGAAGTCCGCGCGGATCTCCGAAAAGATGATGTTCAAGATCTTTTATTCCCCGAGGAAGGAAAAACCGCCTCGACCCCCATAGCCGGCGTTTGCTAAACGGCCCTGGGCGTTTACTAAACAGCCCTGTTCTGTTCGATTCCTTCCATGGGTGCGGTCACTGAACGGCTTCGCTCGTCGGGGTACTTCTCATGAGATGAGGGTGTTGTTTCGCTCTCGACTTCCCCTAGTGAGCCAAAGTTCAATGTTGACGTCGAAGCAACTGACTTCAACATTTTGGCGTCCGCGGACCCGGCCACGCGCACAGCTGGACGCTGAAACTGAGGGCGAGGGGGTTCGGTACAACCTGCCTCAAGTTTCACAGAGTGCTGTAGTTTGCCGATCGTGTCATGGCATCGCCCTCGTCCCAGATAATTGCGTCGTAGTGCGCATGGGCTTATTGGTCCTTGATGCGCTTTGGAGTGATCGCTAGCATATGTATCCTTCGGAGAGCACCTTCACTCTCCTTATTCTCTGTGTTGCCGTTCTTCGTGCTACTGTCGTCTCCGTCCCTACCCCCAAGCTTTTCCAGGCTCTGGCCTACGATCGGCTGTTCCTGCTGTAGGGGGCCACATGCGAACCCTACCCCTACCCCCCAGAAATCGTGGGGGGTAGGGGTAGGGTTCGCATGTGGCCCCCTATGCTGTGCACCTTGACGACGCCCCAGGTACGGCGGCAGGCGGGTGCTGCTGGGCGCGGTGGCGCTGTGGTCCACCGCCACCGTGGCCGCGCCCTTTGCGGCCGAGGTCTCCACGGAGGTCTTCGTCGCGACGCGCGTGCTGGTCGGGCTGGGGGAGCCCGCCGCGCGCGCGCCCTCGCGGGCTCGGGTCTTTTCGCTTCCCTCGTCTCCCAGGAGGAGGCAGGAGGAGGAGGAGGAGGAGGAGGAGGAGGAGGAGGAGGAGGCGGAGGAGGAGGAGGAGGAGGAGGAGGAGGAGGAGGAGGAGGAGGAGGAGGAGGAGGAGGAGGAGGAGGAGGAGGAGGAGGAGGAGGAGGAGGAGGAGGAGGAGGGAGGAGGAGCAGCAGGAGGAGGAGGAGGAGGCAGCAGGAGGAGGGGGAGAAGGGAGGAGGAGGAGGAGAGGAGGAGGAGGAGGAGGAAGAGGAGGAAGAGAGGAGGAGGAGGAGGAGGAGGAGGAGAGGAGGAGGAGGAGGTCTGCAGGAGGAGGGGGAGGAGGAGGAGGAGGAGGAGGAGGAGGAGGAGGAGGAGGAGGAGGAGCAGGAGGAGGAGGAGGAGGAGGAGAAGGAGGAGGAGGAGGAGGAGGAGGGGGAAGAGGAAGTGGATGAAGAGGAGGAGGAGATGAGGAGGAGGAGGAGAAGGAAGAGGACCAGTGCAAACCCAAGACTCCTCAAGGATGGTTTGAATATACCCTCCTTCCAGCTCCCTCTTCATAGGCCCCATACAAGGGTTCATTTCCACTCAGGTAAGTGCCCCGTTTGGAGAGAATCATTGGTAGATCTTGAAGAGTGCCAACATACCATTCTCGGAACTGCAACGCCACGAATCAACTTTACTGTTGCGTCTTGACGATCCGAACATCGTGCGATAACACGATTCCTAGAACTTCAACACCGACAAGGTTAGCCATGTGAATCCGTGAGACTCTTGCTATTTCTTAGGACGAATGCGCGCGGCGCTAAGGCGATATCCACAGTTTGAAAACGGCCCGCCCTCAAGTTGTGAAGCTCTTGCGAATTTTAACACGAGTGTGCGCGGCGGCTAGGCGAGAGCCACATCTTAAAAACCTCCATTCGTGAAGCCCTTGCAAATTCCTAAGACGAATTTGCACGGTGCTGAGGCGAGAGCCACACTTAGGATGCGGCCCGCCCTCCATCCATGAAACTGTTGCGAATTCCCAAGCTTGAGGATCTCAAATTGCGAGGAAGTCAGGCGAAACGCCCGGCACGCCCTTCCGACTGGCCTCGGGGTGCGACAGGGAGGAGTTCTTCGTAAGGAAATGGAATGGAGGAGGAGGAGGGAGGAGGAGGAGGAGGAGGACGAGGAGGAGGAGGAGGACGAGGGGGAGGAGGAGGAGGAGGAGGAGGAGGAGGAGGAGGAGGAGGAGGAGGAGGAGGACGAGGTGAAGACCCGATCTTGGAGGCCTTTGGGGCCATCTTGTGGCGATCTTGGGGGCTTCTTGGGCCGTCTGGGGCTTTCGGAAGGCCGAGAGACGCAATTTCCAAATTCTTCCGGGTTCTCCTGGAAGACCTCTTGGAGACCTATTGGGCCGTCTGGGAGGCCTCTTTGGAGCCTCTTGGGCCGTCTGGGGCTGTCTTGGAGGCTTATTGGGCGAATTTGGAGGCATCTTGGACTCTCTTGGGCCGTCTCGGAGGTCATCTTGGACCACCTTGGGCGAACTTGAAGGCCATCTTGGCCGTCTTGGAAGCCATCTTGGGCCATCTTGGAACCATTTGGAGCAGAAACTACCTTTTTGTGACCCCTCCCCCGGTTTTCAGGAGGGGGGGGGTTAGGGGTGGGGGTTTTGCCGAGGGGAAGGGGGGGGTCCACCAGGGGGGGGGGGGATAATTTTCGGAGGGGGGTGGGGACCCCCGGGTTCTGGAGGAAGAGGGGGGGAAATTTCCATAGTAAAGCGGCGGTGGATCACGCTCTCTCTATTATTGTTATCATCGGCATCGTCGTCATCATGCTGATCGTCATCATCATCATCATCATCATCATCAGCAGCAGCAGCATCATCATCATCATCATCAGCAGCATCGGCATCAGCATCAGCATCAGCGTCAGTATCATCATCAGCGTCCTCACCATCATATTACTAACCATCATCATCATCATCATCATCATCATCATCATCATCATCATCATTATCACCACCGTCACCATCACCATCACGATCACGACCATCATCACCATCATCATCACCACCATCATCACCATCATCACCACCATCACCATCACCTTCACCATCAACACCATCAGCATCATCATCGTAATGATCATGATCATGACCATCATTATCATCATCATCATCATTAGCAGCATCAGCATCATCATCGTTATCATCGTCATCATCATCATCACCGTCATCACCATCATGTTCAACCTCATCCGCATCATCAGCATAATCATCATCATGATCATCATCGACGTCATCGTCATCAACACCACCATCACCATCACTATCATCATCACCATTATCATCATCTTCATCATTATCACCACCATCACCATCACCATCACCATCATCATCATCATCATCATCATCATCATCATCATCATCATCATCATCATCATCACCATCACCATCATCGTCGTCGTCATCATCCTAACCACCATCATCACCATCATCATCACCATCATCATTATCATCACCATCATCATCACCACCATCGCCATCGTCATCGTCATCGTCGTCATCATCAGCATCATCACAATCATCATCATCGTCACCATCATCGTCCTCATCATTATCATGAGATCATCATCAGCATCAACAACATGAGCAGCATCATCCTCATCATCATCATCACCATCATCATCATCACCATCATTATTATTCTCAGCAACAATCTCATCATCATCATCATCACCATCATCATCATCATCATCATCATCATCATCATCATCACCATCATCATCATCATCATCATCATCATCATCATCATCATCATCATCATCATCATCATCATCATCATCATCATCATCATCATCATGAACAATCTATCGCATTGTCATCGTCGTCGTCGTAGAAGCCCCCAGGAGGGGCTGGCGCCCGGAGCCGGGCTCAGCATGGTCGCAGCCTGGGTGCCGCGGGAGGAGCGCAGCCGCTCGGTGGCGACGCTGGGCAGCGGGAAGACGGCCGGCTCGATCCTGGTCCGGGAGGGCGGGCGCTCCCCCGACGGCCCTGGGAGCTGGGCGCACAGTGGAGGCCCATGCCAAGAAACACCCTGCGTGCCTCCGGGGTGCCTTGGGTTTCTTGGTTTTCGATGGTTTTGCCATGGACAGCGTGACGTTCCCACGCAAAAACTTAGTGGACGTCCTGGGGTCTCAGGGTTGGGTTTCCTGTGGACGGTTTCTTGTGGTCGGGCCCCTACTGTATATAGCCATTTTTTCGCGGCGGGCGTTTTCGCCCAGCTTCGGGCCTCGGAGACCCTCACAGACCGATCCCGCTCGAAAAATCACGCCCAGAGCGCTAGATGGTGTCTAGCGCTCTGGGCGTGATTTTTCGCGATGTGTGTGCGTGTGTGTGTGTGTGTGTGCATAGCGGGCCCGGCTTTCTCCTCCCTCCTGCCGTCGCCGGGCGTTCCTCCTCTTTCCCCCGTGCATTGCGGCTTTATTCGCATTTGTTCTTCCAACTTGCGCTCTTCCGCCCGCGCGGTCACCTCTCCCAGCTGCCGACGCAAAAAGGGTGTGTGTGTGTGTGTGCATGTGGGCACTTTGTAGTAAACGTGCGCATTCTTTCACTGTGCTGGCTGGGGCATGATGATACATGTTTGGGCAGTGTTCTAAAAAAATGCCAGGGTAGGAATGCAGTGCTCTGCAAGTCTACCCTCGCATCCTTGCTCTTCCGACCCTCCCTGAGCCAATTTGGACGTCCAAAGATGCCCACATCGGATGTCCAATGGCTCTGCATCTTTATCTTGCATCCTTCCTATATGGCTTTTGCCTGTAGGCGAGTAGAGGAGGCGGAGGAGGAGGAGGAGGAGGAGAAGGCACGTACATTTACCTTCCTGTTTCATATTTCACAGCGGAAGCCATGGCCTTAGAGGACGCTGTTGGCTCGACTTCCCGTCTGATCTATCAGAGTTTCACGGCAAACCACGGCAGAGTTCAGCACACTTTGAACCTTTTTTTCGGCGTAGTGGCCTGTAACAGTGTGGCGAAAGTTTAAGGCGTCCGAAGGAGGACGAGGAGGAGGAGGAGGACGACGAGGAGGAGGAGGACGAGAAGGACGAGGAGGAGGAGGAGGAAGAAGAGAGGAACACGGACAGGAAGGGGAACGTGAGGACGTGCAGGAGAAGGAGGAGGAGGAAGAAGAGGAAGATGGGGAGGAGGAGGAGGACGAGGAGGATGAGGAGGAGGAGGAGGAGGAGGAGGAGGAGGAGGAGGAGGAGGAAAGGGAGCATCGGGACGATTACGAAAACGACGATGACGATGGTGGTGGTAATGATGCTGGTCATGATGATGCTGATGCTTATGCTGATGCTGATGCTGCTGATGATGATGCTGATGGTGATAACGACGACGATGACGACGATGATGATGATGATGATGATGATGATTAGGATGAGGATGAGGATGAGGATGATGATGGTGTTGATGATGATGTTGATGATGATGGTGATGGTGGTGATGACTATGATGATGATGATGATGATGATGATGATGATGATGATGATGATGATGATGATGATGATGATTATGATTCTGATTCTGATTCTGATTATGATGCTGATCATGCTGCTGCTGATGATGATGATCAGCATGATGATGCTGATCATGGTGATGGTGATGGTGATGGTGATGATGCTGATGCTGATGTTGTTGATGATGATGATGAGGATGATGATGATGATGATTATGATGATGATGATGATGATGATGATGATGATGATGATGATGATGATGATGATGATGATGCTGCTGCTGCTGCTGATGATGATGATGATGATGATGATATGATGAGATGATGATGATGATGATGATGATGCTGCTGATGATTGATGATGATGATGATGATGATGATGAGGGAGGAGGAGGAGGAGGTAGGAGGAGGAGGAGGAGGGAGGAGGAGGAGGAAGGTGGATGTGATGATGATTGCGTTGGTGATGTATATGATGATGGTGATGATGGTGATGATGGTAATGATGAGGCGGAGGAGGGCTGGGCTGTGTACGGGGAGGGGGGGGAATGCGAGGAGGAAGAGGAATAATTTTTCTAAGGCGGCCTGACGGCCGGGTTCGCCGACCCTGGAGGCCTCGGCCCTCGACGGAAATGGGAGGGAGAGGGCGCGCTACGGGCCCCAGGTGGGTGGTATTCTGACCCGGGATCGCCCCCCGGGACCACCCCCCTGGGCCCCCCCCCGGGACCTCCCCCCCGGACCCCCCCTCCTGGAAGCCCCCCCCCTCAGCGGGGAAGGGATCAAAGGGAAGGGGCTTCCCATCGACTCAATGACCATGTTGCTTAATTTTGCTGTGGACGGGCTGTTGTATTTTGCTTTTGCTGGCGTGCTTGAGGACGAGGGTCCAAGGAGAGGGGGGGAGCGGCGACGGACTCAGGGGAAGGAGGGGACGTGATGGCGGCGGCGACGCGACGGCGGCAGCGACGGCGATGGCGACGCAGCAGATCCTGTCACACGCCGATAGAGTCGGCGGATTTGGAAGTGGATATGGAAGAGGATATGGAAGTGGATGGAAGGAGGATTGGATGGGGGACAGGAGAATGGCGAGCAGGAGAAGCGGAGAGGGACATCACAGTGGGACGTAGGCGGGGGATGGGGAAGAGGACCAGGATGACGGAGGCTGGATGAGGGAGGACGAGGGGGGGGGATAAAACAGGGTGGGAGGAGGACGATGAAGCGGTGTGAGTTTCGGGGGAGGAGGAGGAGGAGGAGGAGGAGGAGGAGGAGGAGGAGGAGGAGGAGGGAACATGAGGAGGATGAGATCACAGATGGCGACGACGTTGACGATGACGATGACGACGCCGATTGATGATGATGATGATGATGATGATGATGATGATGATGATGCTGATGCTGATGATGATGATGATGATGATGATGATGGTGGTGATGACGACGACGACGATGACGATGACTATGACGATGGTGATGATGATGCTGATGATGATGATGACGATGACGATGGCGATGACGATGATACTGGTGACAATGATGACGCTGATGCTGATGCTGATGATGATGATAATGATGCTGATTATGATGATGATGATTGTGGTGCTGCTGATACTGATGATGACTTTGATGATGATGATGATGATGATGATGATGATGATGATGATGATGATGGTAATTGTGATGGTGAATGTGATGATGTGGTGATGGTGATGGTGATGGTGATGGTGATGGTGATTTTCATTATGATGCTGTTGATGGTTGTGATGGTGACGATGATGAGGTTGGTGGTGGTTTGGTCTGTGGTGATGGTTTTGATGGTGATGGTGGAGATGATGCTACTGCTGCTGCTGATGATGATGATCATGCAGATGATGATGATGCTCATGGTGATTACTATGCTGATGTCGTTGATGATGATGGTGATGCTGATGAGTATGAGTATGATGCTGATGCTGCTGCTGCTGCTGCTGCTGATGATGATGATGATGATGATGATGATGATGATGGTGGTAGTGGTGATGCTGATGAGTATGATGCTGCTGCCTATCATGATAATGATGCTGCTGATGATGATGGTGGTGGTGATGATGATGAGCATGATGATGTTGATTATGATGATGATGACGACGATGATGATTGTGGTGATGAGGGGGAGCAGCAGCAGTAATCATGCAGAGGACAGCCAAATTCATCACGCTTCGCGTATCCCCACCAGCCCGTCCAGAAACGACGCCCAGGCGAGTAGAGGGTCGTCCTGATGGGCTTTTCGGCGTCTTGGGTGCCTCGGGGGGGCCTCTTTGGGCCGTTTGGGATCCTCTTGGGGGCCTCCTGGGGGCCTCTTAGGGCCATCTTGGGGCCTCTTGGTGCCTCCTGGGCGCTTCTTGGGGCCATCTTGGAGGAAATCGATCCAAGAAGAGGGGAGTTTTAATTAGCGCTGCCCCCTCAGAAGGCCAAAATGGGGCCAAAACCTTAGTAAAATCAATGATTTTGGCTTGAAAGAAGATGGGAACTTTAATTAGCGCTGCCCCCTCAGAAGGCCAAAATGGGGCCAAAACCTTAGTAAAATCAATGATTTTGGCTTCAAAGAAGAGGGGAGCATTTTTTTGCCTCCCCCCGTCGGGGCCACGATCCTCGTGAGGGGTGTCGAATTTTAGCCCTCCCAGGAGTCGAAAAAGACCCCTCCAACCACCCGCGGGGCGCCCTCTCCAGGCCCAGGGGGAGGGGGTAGGGGGAGGGGTAAACCCCTCCCCGAAGGGGAAGAAGGGGGTTGAGAACAGAGCGGGCTCTCTAAACCACTCACGCCCAAAGGGCTGGTGGGACTTTTGATGAGCAAGGAAGGAGGAGGAGGGACATCAGCAGCCGCACGAGTACGATGCGATGAGGACTGGATGAGGAAGACGACGGCCCTCTTCGGCCTCTCCCTGCTGCTGTGCTGCTGCTGCTGCTGCTGCTGCTGCTGCTGCTGCTGCTGCTGCTGCTGCTCTTCTTCTTCTGCCTCCTGCCCATCCACTTCCCCCTCCCCGTCCCGACCGCCCCCTCCCCCTTCCCTTTTTTCCTCTCGCTCCCTTTCCTCCATTCTTCCCTCCCTCCCTCCGCCCTCTCTGCCTCTCCTGTCCCTCTCCTCTCCTCCTCTCCCTCTCCTCTCCTCTCCTCTCCTCCCTCTCCTCTCCTCTCCTCTCCTCTCCTCTCCTCTCCTCTCCTCTCCTCTCCTCTCCTCTCCTCTCCTCGCCTCCTCCTCTGTCTCCTCCCTTCTTCCATGTTCTTTTTGCCCGAGCCGCCGACGAGGGGCCACCGCCCGCGCGCGCCCGACCTCCGCTGTTCAGTGGGCAGGAAAAAGGGGTGCCGACTGGGTGCCCAGGGGCCGCCCGCCGGGACGGCGGGGTGAGGGGCGACGCCAGAGGGGGTGACTACATCGGAGGCCCCAGGTTGGAGGTATCCGGGCGGTTTTGTCGGTTCCCGGCGGTTCTGTTGTGCCTCGTCGAGGGCGGCGCAGGGGTGTCTGGATCGTCCCGAACGGCCGCCACAGAGCCGAGCCGTGGCCCGAAAGCCAAGGGGAACATCCGATAGGGGCCTGATGGCCTAGTTCGCCGGGGGGTCGACGACGACGACGACGAAGACGAAGACGATGACTTCGACGACGCCGACGATGACGACGACACCGACAAGGGTCCCCCCCGGGTGTGTGCGCGCGCGGGTGGGTGGGTGGGAGAGGGACGGGGGGCGGAAGGGCGGGAGGGGGCGGAGGCGCGCTTCTCTCTCCGTCGGCCCCGTCGCGACTGATCCAGCAAGGGGCGCCCCCCACCGTGAGCAGGTGCCGCCCGGCGTGGCAGGCGGAGGTGAGACTCCGCCTGTAGGAGGACATGCCCGACCTAATCGTGGGTCCTCCGCGCGCCTCCCTGGCCGGCAAGGGCCAGGGGAGGGGGGTCGAAGAAGAAAAGACGCCATGAACATGAGCTTCTAGCGCTCCGCGCGGGTTTCTTGGATCCGCGCTATGGCTCCCTGGCGGCGCCTCCGGCGCCGCCCCTGGCGCGCTCCGTGCGCCAGGGAGGGCGTTCCAGCGCAGATCCAAGAAATCCGCACGCAGCGCCACAAGTTTCTGTTTGTGGCGCTTTGTTCTTCTCCTTTTGGGGGGGGAGGGGCGGAAAGGGGGCAGGGGCGGGGCAAGGGCCGCCCGCGGGGCCCCCAGCAGGGGAGGGGGGGCCCACAGGCTCCAGAGCTTTCCTCCGCTCTTGAGGCTTTCTCCCCCCGTCGGGGAGGAGGAGGGGGAAGGGGAGGAGGAGGGGGAAGGGGAAGGAGGAGGGGGAGGATTTCAACGCGGACTTCCCGAGGGTCGACGACCAGGCTTCGGGGCAGGCGGCAGCTTGCACGGAGGTTCTCAAGCCTTCTCTGAGCTCCTGTGGATGCCCCAATCGGTGGACTTCAGCATTGTGGAACTCGAAATCAACCACAATGGTGTAGCCCGTCTCATCCCCCTCGGCACGAAGGCGAATCCTTTCGATTATGAGTGGAATACGTCATGATGCTGTCGTGCTGCGTCGGCTATGTCGAGGCAGTCGTTGTCATCTGCTGTGTCGGTCGCTCGCTTTTGGGTTCGCGGCGTGTCGCCCAACCCTCTCACTGGGAGCGTCGGTCAGGGTTCGCGGCGTGTCGACCAACCCACTCCCTGGGAGCTTATGGCCCCGACTAGTCTGTCGGGGCCATCGTCGTGCTGCGCCGGTCTCGTCTGGCTTTCCAGTGTGCTCAGCTGTGTCGGTCGGTTGTAGTGGGTTCGCGGCGTGTCGACCAACCCTCTTGGTGAGTGAGAGCGTCGGTCTGGGTTCGCGGCGTGGCGCCCAACCCACTCACTGGGAGCTGATGGTCCTGACCAGGTGGTCAGGGCTCTGTCGAGGTCTCGTCTGTGCTGTCCGTGTGTTGCCGTGTCGGTCTTGTGTGGTTCGCGGCGTGTCGCCCAACCCTCTCCGTGGGAGCGTCGGTTGGGTTCACGGCGTGGCGCCCAACCTTCTCACTGGGAGCTGCTGGCCTTTGGCGTCCTGCTGTGCTGCGTCGGGCTCCCCGTAGCTGCAAAGACCCAGATAACTAAGGAAAGAGACTCTGAAAAAATTGCTTGACTACAAAAACGAGGAGGAGGAAGGAAGAGGAGGAGGAGGAGGAGGAGGAGGAGGAGGAGGAGGAGCAGTTGGAGGAGGAGGAGGAGGAGGCGGAGGGGGAGGGGGAGGAGGAGGAGCAGTTGGAGGAGGAGGAGGAGGAGGAGGAGGCGGAGGAGGGGGAGGAGGAGGTGGAGGAGG